TTTGGAACTATACGGATAAAGGGCCTAAAATGTCTATACCCTTCAAAGCAGAGATTTAAACTCCAAAGAAGCCATCACCCATATACTCCAAAGTATTTACAACAGCATTTTTTTTGGTGATAGCTAGGAATTGGAAACAATGTCCATTTTTTGGGAATGACTGAACAATTGTGGTACATGAAGATTTATATGAACTGATGCAGAGTGAAGTAGGCAGAGCCAAGAAAGCAATATACACAGTAACTACAACAATATAATTGAGAAGAACATCTACAAACTAAAAAACCAAAAGTAAATATAACAAAATTATAAAGATCAAGCAGAACTCAAATAAAGAGATATGCAAAGATACTCCCAAACTACCCCTTTATGGAGGCAGGAGGTCCTCAGATGTTACACATTGCACATGTTTTTAAACTTTTTTCTTTTTTTTTTCTTTTTTCTTTTTGCTAGTCAATGGTGTTAAGTGACTTGCCTAGGGTCACACAGCTAGTAAGTGTTATGTGTCTGAGGCCAGATCTGAACTCAGGTCCTCCTGACTCTGGGGCTGGTGTTCTATCCACTGTGCCACCTAGGTGCCCCTTTAAACTTTTTTAACCTTTTGATCAGTTGTGCTGAGTTTTTGTCCTCTCTTAAAAAAAACTATTTGTCATGTGGAATGACTCTCTGGGAGAGGGAGTGAAGGATATTATTATGGGGAGTAACTGTGGTTTTTTTTACCATGTGATTGCCAGCCCCCCAACCCCAGTTTATCTACTCACAAAAAACAAAGGTCAGACAACAGAGGTAATGAGTCATTAATATGATAACAAAGTGTTAAATTAACTGTAAAGACTCTTCCCTGTGTCCCCTTACTTAGGAAGAAAAAATTTCTTGGATTAAATTGGACAGGAAGCTTGGTATTGGCTGGCTGAAAATTAACCATGCCCCTGGAGGCCTTTAAGTAGCAAACCTGCCAGCCCTGGATTAATTTATGTAGTTGGAGAGTTTGGGTCAATTCAGTCTTAGAGCATCTCCTTAGAGTATGACTCCCAAGCCGATATCAGGAGGTAGCAGGGGATTCTGGGAGTTTCTCTCTCCTCCCCTCCCCTTCCCTCCCCTCCACTCCCCTCTCCTCCCCTCTCCTTTCCTCTTCTCATCTCTCCTTTCCCTATTCCCTAATCAGCAATGTCACATAGGAATTCACCCCATAGGAGACATACCATCCATCAGTTCAGAAGTTAATTGGGCAGAGTTTAAGGCACAGCAGGGAGCAGAGACAAAGTGGGAGTCCCTTGAGGGAGAAAGTAGTTTTAAGGAGTGTGACACCTGGTAGCAAAGAAGACAGCAGATAATGGATTCAAGAGAGAACTAACCCTGGCAATTGGGAGACAGAGTATTACGTGCAGAGAAGAAAGACACTGAGGCCCCCATAGCAGCAACACAGATTCCCAACATCTACATCTCACTACTCACTCTGTTTTTGTCTGCTCTTGTAATGATCTGTCTGAGAGAATGTTCCCAAGGTTTATGGGAGAAATGCTTTGCACCTATCATTCTTTACTATGTTTTCTTAGTCAATGTCTTTTGTTATGAACTGATTCTACTGATTGACTATTAAAGGGAATCTCACTGTCAGAGTTCACAAGCTTTGACTATACATGGGACCAATGTGTAGGGCGGTCAGGAGTTAAAAGTTCATTCGAACTCTAATGGACCACATAACCAAGGAGGCCATGGGAAGCAGTCCTGGGGGCAAACAGTAACTAGTCTAAAAGGAGGATAGACCAAAGAGGCGCAGGTCCAAGGCTGGACAGAACCAAGCAAACAGGTATGGTGAGCACTGGGGCTACTTCCAAGAAGAGCAGTTGATTTCTTGGGTGCTGGCCCCCTATTCACCATCTGTTAGGCTAAGCAGGGGCTCTGAACACACCTCCCCTTTCTGTGCCATGTAGCGGCATCTGTGTGTGGTTGTTCAGTCACATCTGACTCTACATGCCTTTGTCCGTGGGGTTTTCTTGGCAAAGATCCTGGAGTGGTTTGCCATTTCCTTCTCCAGTGTGTCCCCGTTTTATAGAGGGGAAACTGAGGCAAATAGGGGTTAAGTAATTTGCCCAGAGTCACACAGCTAGTAAGTGTCTGAGGCCTTATTTGAACTCAGATCTTTCTGACTCCAGACCACCACCCAGCTGCCCCTTTCACCTGGGTACTTCAGACTATTTGGACACCTAAACTTTTTGTTTGTTTATATTTGATTTGAGGATGATCTGGGCATATTTGACTTCATTATTTATTTTTAAAAAGGTTTCATTGGTTTTTATTTACATTGTTATCCTTTCCCCACCTCAGTAATTCCCTTGTAACAAAGTACTATTAAGCAAAAACAATTGCTGCATTGGCCAAAAGTATTAAAGTTCTAATAACTGACACTAATAGAGCATAATTTAATAGAAAATAATTTAAAGTCTGTAAAGGACTGAGCATTCATTATCTCATTTATCCCTCACAACTAGCCTATAATGTAGATAAGTACTTGAGGTATCACTTATCATCATTTTATAGTTGAAGAAGCCAAGACCCATGAATGACTTGTCATGATAACATAGCTAATAAGTGTCAGAGGTGAGATACAACCCCAAATGTTCCCTGACCAACTCCAGTGCATTTACAACTACCTACCTCATTCTGCCTCCTAATATGATTCCTTAGCATACAGATGTTATAGTAATGTATGAGGTATGGAAAGGGCAACCAGGTGGTGCAATGGATAGAGCACAGTGCCTGGTGTCAGGAAGATCTGAGTTTAAATCTAACCTGGGATACTGGTTGTGTGACCCTGGGCAAGTCACGTAACCCTGTTTGCCTCGTTTCCTCATCTGTAAAACGAGATGGAGAAGGAAATGGCAAAACATGTCAGTATCTTTGCCAAGAAAACCTCAAATGGAGTCATGAAGAGTTGGACACAACTGATATGAATGAATGATAGCAACGGTGGAAAGAGAACTGGATTTGGAGTCAAAGAACCTTAGTTCAAAGCCCAACTTTATTTTTTACTGCTTGTGGGTGCTCAAGTGAATTACTTCAACTCTCTTGGCCTCAGTTTCTTCTTCCATAAAATGTGGGGTAGGGGGTAAGAAGGTTGAACTGCAAGGTTTCTAACGTTCATTCTGGATCTAAATTTGTGGTCTCATGGTTCCATGAAAATATGATACATAAGCTAATATTCATACAGATTATCTACTGAGATATTAAAAAACCAACAACAACCCCAAATATGAGAAGCATGAAGGTCCATGGGGATTATATGATCTATTCTTGGCACAGTTATCGTATTTGCCTCCAGCTTTGTTGGGATCAGTGCTAGACTTGTAATACTTCCCATCCTAGCGAGTGTGAGAGAAGGAAAGGATAATGAGCAGCAGTTCAACCAGCTGAGGCAGTCTTGCAAGAGCTGATCAGAAGCTCCACCAGATTCTCCCCAATGTCACCACAACCACTCCACACGAGGAAGGCAGATTTCCCAACGATGTGCTCACCAATTCCTGCATACATCCTCAGGCTGCTGAATCTCTTGAGCACCACCTTGCCCAACTCCAGGTCTAGGGAGTTGACAGTCTTCTGGGACAAGTCCTAGTGGGGCCTGTCACCGAAGAACTTGATGTTCAGCATCTGTACTTGACTTCCTTCAGTGGGCTTGCCCTTAGAGAACTCTCTGAACTCTGTCTTGCTCGACACAATTCTATATTTCAGGGATCCCTGGTTTGATCAATGTGTATACTTCTGCCGATGAATATCACAACACCTCTTTACCCTAGTAGACTTTTAGGCATCATTGTCATCATCATCATCATCATCATAGCCCATAAATATATTTTAAGGTTTGCAAAACACATTATGTATTTTATATATCTAATCATGCATTGTTGTGGCTGGAAAAAAAAGTCAAGACCTGGTAGCCAACCATCTGGCAATGGACCTTTAAGAACCTAAGAGCTAGGCAAATTTTCCAGTTTCAGCCATATAGCCTGTCCCTGGTCCCATTCTTGAAGGTTTTCTGCTTGGTAGGACCTACTTAAACCTGCAGGTGGTGTAGCCCTAAAGATAGGATGAGCCCTATGCCTTGATAAGACCTTGAGGTATTATTTTATTGAAGTAGTAGTGGGAAAGGGAAAGGGAATAAGCATTTATATAGAACCTACTATGTGCCAGGAATAGTACTAAGTGCTTTCTACAAATATTGTCTCCTTTGATCCTCACAACAACCCTGCAAGGGACTTGCTGTTATTATCCCCACTTTATAGTTAAGGAAACTGAGGCAAAAAGAGGTTAAGTAACTTGCCCAGTCACACAGCTAGTAAGTGTCTGAGGCAGGATTTGAACTTAGGTCTTCCTGACTCCAGGCCCAGGGCTCTACTTCCCCTTTTCCTCTTAGAATGGCAATGGTCCCAATCCCACCTCCTTCTTTGCTGTCATGTTTACGTCACATTTCCACCTTTTATATGAAGCCTCCCCCACAAAATTACTTTGCATTTATCCTGGTACTCCTTTTTGTTTTTTTAGGCAATTTGGGTTAAGTGACTTGCCCAGGCTCACACAGCTAGTAAGTGTCAAGTATTTAGTCTGAGGCTGGATTTGAACTCAGGTCCTCCTGCCTTCAGGGCCAGTGCTTTACCCACTGCACCACCTAGCTGCCCCACATTTATCCTGTATATACCTAAGGATTGTATGGGTCATCTCCTCCAGAAGAATATAAATTCCTTGAGGGCAAGGAATATCTTGTATTTTTGTTTTTGTATCTCCAGTACCAAACTCAGCATCTGGCACATAGTAGGCCCTTAGTAAATCCTTGCCAATTTATTGGCTGGTCACACTGTTCACTGTCCAGTGAATCTGGATGCTTACCCTTCCAGCTTTACATGGTTGTTCTTCATGGCATCCCTTAGACGAGACCTCAAAGCCCTCTTGTTATTCCCAAAAGAGCCTCTAAGTGTCAGTTACAACATTGACCTTTGTCTTTACAGTATGGCCAACAAAAGGAAGCCATCGAAGAAACAAGAAGGCTCTTGGAAGCTGAAGGCATTGGTGCCAAGGTGGGTGACTGATTTGTCTGTCTGCTAACTCCTGACGATGCGCTCTTCTGACATTCCAGTCAAAGCCCCCAATGCCATCCTTCTCACGGAACAGGGACGTGTATACCACCAAACCACAGAGAATACGGATGAGCCAGGATGCTCTACCCTACTCATACATACCCGCAGCACCTGGCCATTGGGCAGGACCAAGGTAGACAATCCCTTGGGGAATATTGATAAACCAGGATGCTTTACTCCACTCATACATACCCAGAGCACCTGGCCATTGGGCAGGACCAAGGTAGACAATCCCTTGGGGAATATGGATAAACCAGGGTGCTTTACTCCACTCATACATACCCAGAGCACCTGGCCATGGGATAGAACCATGAGGTAGATATAGTCCTTGGGGAATACGGATGAGCCAACATGTTCTGCTCCATTCGATCCACAGTGCCAGGCCATGGGAAAGGACTGTGGGGTAGACAGACCGTCAGGTAATATGAATTAGCCAGGATTTTCTACTCTACTAAGATTCTTCTTCTCTCTCTCTCAGACTCATAATCCCTGCAGTTTCTTCTTTTGTATCTTTATTCTCTGCCTTACATTGCTACTTTTCCATCTCCTTGAGCACTTACTTCTTCTCATTCAGGTTTTGTCTTCATCAATCAAATTAATCATTCAATAAACATTAAATGACTGCTATGTACCAGGCACTGTGCCAAGTGCTGGGGATACAAAAAGAGGCAAAAACAGTCCCTGCCCTCAGGGAGCTCACAATCTAATAGGGGAGACAACATGCCAGAGAAAAACACCCAGAGCCAAAAGATGGAGTGTCTTGTTCGTGGAACATCTGGGAGGCCAGTGTCACTGGATGGAGGAGTACATGGAAAAGAGAAAGGTGTAAGAAGATTGGAAAAGTAGGAGGGGCCCATGTTGGAAAGTGAGAAAATGAGCCAATCACACCAAAGAAATAGATAGGTAGCTTGGCCATCATGCATTTAGATCCTGAAACGCCGACCTTTTCTGCTTTTTTCTATCTCTTCCCTCACTTTTCTTCACACTAGCTCTTCCCTAGATTCTCCAGGAAACCATTATATCCTTATTTCTTTCTCTCTCTTCCCCAGTCCTTTAGAGGAACTCCAAAGTCACACCATGAAGAAAGGCCGAGTCTGCGCAGGACCCCCTCGGTAAGTCAGGAAGGGAGTTGAGGTCACTAGGCAAAGCAGCTTTACCTGCAGTGGCTCAAGCCAGGCTGGGTGGCTGACACAGACCATTTCTTGCATACTGTGGGGGCTTAATAAATGTTTACTGGATTTGTTAAATTGAATCAAATTTAACAGCAGTGTTAGCTAGGGACTAGACTGAATTGGGTCAGGGTTTGAGAAAGACCACACACTAGATAATAGGGTGTGCATTTGGCCAGGACTCAGGGGGAAAGCAACCTACTTAATGAATATGAGTTGGGGAAATCATAGTTACCTGACCATTTGCCTAAGATTTAATGGGATTTAGTGCCCTATGCACCAAGGGTGGAGCATGGTTGCCCAAAAAGCTAATGCACATTTAGGCTGCTTTAAGAGAGTTTGGGAAGTGGGAAATGATTGTTTTGCTATGCTCTTTCCTGGTCATATCACACCTGGAGTATTATGTTCAGTTTCGGGGGCCACATTTTAGGAAGAGTATCCACAAGTTCAAACAAATTCAGAGAAAGATTAGTAGGATAACAAAGAATGTACATCACTTGAAGGGGGAAGGGGAAAAGAGAATAAGCATTTATACAGCACCTACAATGTGTCAGGTACTATGCTAAATGCTTTAAAAATACCTCATTTGATTCTTATAACAACCCTTCAAGATAGATGCTATTATAACCATTTTATACATCACCATTTTACAGATGGAGAAACTGAGGCAAACAAGGTTAAGTGACTTGCCCAGGGTCACACAGCTAGTAAGTGTCTGAGGCCTGATTTGAACTCAGATCTTCCTGACTCCAGACCCAGTGCTCTATGCAATGTGCCACCTGGATACCTATAGCTACCACTTGAAGAAGTAGGGGATGTTTGACCTGGAAAAGAGAAGTCTTAGAGAGGACCTGATAACTGTGGAAGAAGAATTTGATTTATTCAGCTTGGCCCCAGAAGGCAGACCTGGGGCAATAAGTGGAAACTGAAGAAAAATGAATTTAGCTTGAGGTATTGGGGGGCTAGGGAAATTTCCTCCCAATTTGAGTTACAGACATAAAATGGATTGCCCATAGAGGTAATGGTTTTTTCCTCTCCAGATGTCTTCAAATGAAGGTGGGATTATCAGTTGTATGCTGTGGAAGGGATGTGTTGTCCAGATATGGGATGTTCTAGATGGTTTTTGAGGTACCTAAAGTTCCTGCCAATGCTGGGAATCTGTGATTATGTATGCCATAGTTGCTCAGGCCCTGGCAGTTGGTGGGAAGAAATGGTTTTTACAGGTTAGGAAAGGAACCAAAGCTGAGTATGGAAGAGTCTTCCAATCAATGAGGAAAAAACACAACAGATTAGCGTGCAAACTTCCAGAAGAGGCAAACCACAGAGTGTGCATGTGTTGGAGATGGTGTTAGGAAAGGTACTGATGCAGGAACACATGACATGAGTTTTGTAAACGGCGAATAGTCCAGTTTGCCAGGAGAGTGGATTATGTGAGTGGAGTAATATAATAAAGAGTAGTGGATTGGTGCCATATTGTTGAGGTGCTTAAATGCCCAGATAAACAGCTTATTGGGTGGGTACTAAGGAGCTATTGAAGAGTTTTGAGAACAGGAGTAGCATTTTCAGAATTACATTAGGCAGATGACTTTGGTAGGTGTATATAAGATAGATTAGAGCAAGAAGAAATGAGAAGTTTGGAAATGAGTTAGAAGACTGTAGCAGTAAAGGAACAAGAATTTATTAAACACCTACTATATGTGCCAGGCACCATGCTGAGCACTTTACAAGTATTATCTCATTTGATCCTCTCAGCAATCCTGGGAGGTTAGTACTATTATTATCCCCATTATACAGTTGAAGAAATTGAGGCAGAGATTAACTCACTTGTCCAGGAGTCATACAGCTAGTAAGTATCTGAGGACACATTTGAACTCAGGTCTTTCTGACTCCAGGTCCAGTTATCTACTAAGCCTCCTAGCTTCAATAGGCAATGAGGGCCTGAACTAACTCAGAGGTATATAATGCCTCTGGGCAGCTAGGTGGTTCAGTGGATAGAGCATTGGGCTTGGAGTCAGAAAACCTGAGTACAAATTTGGTCTCAGACACTTACTAGCTGTGTGACCCTGGGCAAGTCACTTAACTCTGTTTGCTTCAGTTTGCTCATCTATAAAATGGCCAACCACTCTAGTGTCTTTGTCGAGAAAGTCCCAAATGGGGTCACGAAAAGTCGGACACAACTGAACGACAATAACATCATGCAGTTTACAAAGCACTTCACTTGTGGTTTAACAAAGCACTTGACTCATGACAACCCTGTGAAGTAGATAGTTCAAATATCACTATCCCCATTTTATGGATGAGGAAAATGAGATTTGAAGAAAGTTAAGTGATTTGCCCACAGTCATATAGCCTTGAAATATCAGAGCTAGGATTTGAATCCAAGTCCATTGATTTCAAGTCCTGCACTCCTCTTCCTTCAGCTGCCCTGGCTGCTACAATGCCGCTAGAATGGTGGTAGTTAGAATGGAAAGTCAGAACAAACATGAAAGATGGTTGAAAGGTAGCATTAACAGGACCTAGCAATTGGCTGCAAGTGAATGAAGGAGGAGGAAAAGCCAAAGATGACCTGAGTTTTCAAGCCTGCATCATCATGAGAAAAATGGCACCAGAACACACTTAGGAAATTGGGATCAAAGACTGGTTCCGAGGGAGAAAGCGCCCCCTTTTGGATAATGCTGTGCTTGAGGTTCCAAGAAGACTTACAGATGGCACCTGCTGGAAGGCTGTTGGGCATGTGGATCTGGAGCTAAGTTAGGAGAGAAAGTGTAGATTTGAAAATATTCTGCAAGGGGTAGTAGCTGAAGCTCTGGGAATAGATAAGACTGTCCGAGAGAGGGTGTAGAGGAAGAAAAGACGGAGGGGAAGGAGCCAGAGTCTGGGCCCATTGTTTGTGCCTTGTTTCCCATGTATTGTATATTCACTTTTCAGTTTTAAGCCTGATTTCTTCAAAATGTCATGGAAATGTCTCATTTTGGTCTAGTAAGAAATGATTTTTTTTAATCAGCAGAAAGCACATTTTTAATGTCTATTGGGAAAACAGTAAAACAGGGCTTTCTTTTGATATTTTTTTTTTAAGAAAAAGTCATCAAAGTAAAAGTAACTTCTATTAAGCAGCTTTTGAAAATTGTTGTTATATGCAAGTGTTATTTTTCCTATATCTTTAAATTATTTCATATCGGAATTTTTTTGGGGGGTAGGGAACTCCAGGTGAGGAAAGTCCCTTTACCAATGCAGGTTCTGTTACTCTGCAATTTAAGAGTCTTAGAGAGTTGACCAGGACACAGAGCCAGTATATGTCAGAAGTAGTATTTGAATCCAAATCCAAAGCCAGTTCTCTATATACTACACTACACTGTCTCTCATAGGAAAAAAATATACTTAATATACTCTCTCTATATAAATATACAATATAAAAATATACTCTTAATATACTCTCTAGCAGATCATGTCAACTGGGCATATGGGGATCCAGCCCCTCCAATGTGCTGTTGGAGGCAAATTAGCTCATCTCTCCACTCTGCCCTGGAGCACCATAACCCCACCAGCCCAATAATCTCCAGGGACTCCACAAACTGCTTTGGCCTTATTTATAGCAAAGGCCACAGGAGATGGTCATGAACCGGGAGTTTCCACTGAAAGAGTATTGTCAAGTCACATGTGAAAAAAGTTGTTGGGACTAACGATAATAATTGGAATAGTTTATCATTGTTAGAGGCAGCTAGGTGGTGCGGTAGACAGAGTTTGGTGCCTGGAGTCAGGAAGACATGAGTTCAGATCTGGTCTCAAGACACTTAGTAGCTGTGTGACCCTGGGCAAGTCACTTAACCCTGTTTGCCTCAGTTTCCTCATCTGTAAAATGAGTTGGAGAAGGAAATGGCAAACTACTCCAGTATCTTTGCCAAGAAAACCCCAAATGGGGTCACGAAGAGTCGGACACGAATGATCCAACTGACCAACAAAAACAACAAATCTTTGTTTGAAATTAGGAAAATAAAAATGATCATTCACATTTACATATCACTTTGCAATTTAAAAAGCACTTCCCTCTCAGCTCTATGAGGCTGATATTATAGATATTGTTACTCTTATTTTACAAATGAGGAAACTGAGGCACAAAGACACACAGTATTTTGCCCAAGGTCACACAGCTAGTAAGTGGCAGAGATGGGCAGATTCAAATTCAAGTCTTCTGATTCCAAGAACACTGTTCTTTCTACCATATTACACAGCATGTACTGTACTTAGCCTGTTAAAGAATGCCTTTATTTCTTAACCTCAGATATTTTTACTTTGAAAAAAATCATGAATTTGAGTTCAACTGCTAGTATCTAGGTGAGATCGAAAAGCTTTGCAACCTAATTTTCAGAAATGATTAAATTCAGTTTGGAAGTCTGGTGAAGCCTTTGAACTCCTTCTTAGAATGATGTTTTTAAATGTATTAAGTAGAACACATAGACATATAGGACAAACCAATTCTATTAAAATGCAGTTATCAAAATATATCTTTAAAAAGGTTCACGGAGCCCAGATCAAGGGCCTCCGTGAGACCAAGAGGCAGTTTGGGGTAGCAAGCATAGGGCTGGCCTCAAAGTCAGGAAGATCTGAGTTCAAAGCCTACCTTTGATACATATAGCTGTGTAACTGTAGACAGGTCATTTTACTCCTAATTGCCCCCAGGCTGTTCTTTAAGATTACAAATGGCCCCTCCTCTCTCCAAGAAAAACATTAGAGAATTTATCAATAAAAATAAAATATATATCAATAAAGGCATATATGGTTTTTAAAAATGTTTCTTGAGGGATTTCTAACTACTCTAAGGAAAAGGGCTAACAGGCTACCACTAAAAATTTAGAGGATTTGAATATTCTAGTTCTTTTATTTGTAACTTTCAGTATTACTGTCTTAATGTTTCTAAACTCTAGTTACATATTTCCAATGACCAATAAATAGTAAGAAGTTAATATGTGAAACTATATGTTAATTAAATGTCTTCTGTTTACTAAAAAGGATATTTTATTATGCTATATTAAATTATCTTCTAAGAATATAGTATAATGCCCTAATCCTCGCAAAAAAGTCTTCTATCTTTCATCCTCTGGCATTCACATTCTACTTGGTTTTTATATCTCTAATTTTCTATTTATTTCTTTGTAAATGTTTATTATTTATAGGTAGCTGGTCCAGTAAAAAGTATCTTAATAGAGTTTTAGAATATTAAACATTTGCTGATCACCAGCTAGTGAACTTGGTTCAGGGACTTTTTACATCAGTCATTAACTTAACTACTCAATCATACTTTTTTTTGGAAACCTATGTCATTTGGTGGGAACAGAGCACATGCTGAGAGATAAACTGAATGTTTAGTTAGTCTGAAAAAAAGTTATAAACATTACTGTTTTATTTAAATTTACAAAATGGCTCATAAAGCAAAAACTGTATTTGGACATTGTGTTTTTGTTTAGTTTGCTTTTTGATATCCTTAAAATACTTGCGATATGGAGGTTTGTATGACAGAGTTAGATTAAATTCTTAGCAGATATATATTTTTCCTCTGAAGAAATTTGCTAACTAGTTAGTCTAGGTTCTAGCAGCTACCAAGCCAGAAAGATTTTGAATATGATTCCAGTGTTTGACTCTTATCTCCTGTCTAAGTTATAGTTTGGAGAGGCACACTACCCAAAGACTGCCAGCCAGGTACTAAACTATTTAGGCCTGGTCACCCACGAAACAGATAAAAATACAAAACAGATCTCAATCTTCTGCAATCCTTTAACTCTTCTACACTGACAGCAGTGCTATAATGGAATGTGGTACAGATAAACATTCACTATTCATATTTTTAACGTACTCTGTCCAATGACCAAGAAATTAACGCACTATGAGAGAAACTTCAGTCCATCCATAACAAGTCTTGTTCAGTCATTTTTCAATCATGTTTGACTCTCTGTGACCCCATTTGAGGTTTTCTTGACAATGATACTGGAGTGGTTTGCCATTTCCTTCTCCAGCTCATTTTACAGATGAGGAAACTGAGGCAAACAAGGTTAAGTGACTTGCCTAGGATCACATAGCTAGGAAGTATCTGAGGCCAGATTTGAACTCAGGAAGATGAGTTTTCCTGATTCCAGGCCTGGAGCTCTATCCACTACACATAGTCTATCAGTAAAATCAGAAGATATAAAGAAATTTCAGGTAATGGGAAGAATAGCTGTCAGATTCCCCTCCAGGTAGGGAATAGAGAAGTTGGCAGAGTCGATCCCATTGTGTGCTCAAAAGTAAAATGGGAACCTTAGTCTGCTCATCTTGCCCTACTCATGATGAGAATAAAGATACACAACACCATGAAGATATTTGTAGATCATATGCCAACAATCATTTCAGAGAATGAAGAACTGTTTTTGAATAACATTTTATTTTTCCCAATCACATGCAAAGACAATTTTAACATTCGTTTAAAATTTTTTTTGAGTTCCAAGTTTTCTTCCTCCCTCATCTCTCCCCTCCCTTAGACAGTAAGCAAATTATGTATGTGCAGTCATGTAAAACATATGAGAATGAAGAAATTGAGAAATTATCTGAAAACTTTACAAAGCCCTCCCAGTTAAGTCAATGTCCTCTTTGATTCTTGGTGGTTTCAATGAGAAAATGGGCACAAGAATATACAGGGGAAAGCATCTTGGAAAATATAAGAAAAGAAAGACTGTATACAACTTAGAAACTATATGTTGATACAGCAAGAGTACCAGGATCGGGAATATAACATGTCAACCATATGCCAAACATTTGATAGCATCAAAAAATGAAAATGGCTATCTCATCAGGAAATGACTGGTTACCTGTGTTAATAGTTATTTCAAAATCAGATGTCTTTGTGCAATCAGAATATCAACTAGATAGAGCAAATAAAATACCAAATCAGATAAAAAGATAAAGGTGAAAAGATATCCTTGGATACCATCTCAGTGTAATGAAAAAAGCTCAGAATTTGGAATCAGAAATCTTCTTGAATGAGAAGCCTCCACCAATGATTCCCTGTGTGATAAGCCAACTAACTTTTCTGAGCCTCAGTTTCCTCATCTAGAAAACAAAGAGGTTGGATTAGATCATCTTTACAGTCCCTTCCAACTCTGATTGTTTTGATCCTGTGATTATAGGGACTTCAACCTGGTTTGTTCCAACAAACTCTCGACCCTAATAAATGGGAAAATGGGCAAAAAGTAAAGGCGTTTGCTTCATCACCACTGCCGAAAGCCATTTAACAGATTCAGTAGTGGACATAGCAAGGCGACTAAAAGAACTCAGAAAAGATATCTTTCATCAAGCACTTAATATCCTTGCCAAGCAGTGAGGCATGGCAGCCCCAGGGTCTTGCCATTTTAAAGTAAAAGCTTATTTTCAAAGTATTGTGAAAGGGGCTGCTGAGTATTACCAATGATGACTTGCCTTTTAGAAGTGCCACAAAATGAATCATCAAGGTTGTATATGACTAGAAAAAAAAGATGGACTAATCATGTAGTGTCAACAGATAGACAGCCTTAGAAAGGGCTACCTTTGTGTCTTTGAGATATTAGAAGCATCAGAAGATCTCCAGCCCATTGTGTGGGTACTCTATGGAATATTCATGGGAAAACATAGATAAG